ATCTATGGTGATTTTAGTACCAATCACAACAACTCAACCACCATACTTAGATCTATTGAGAAATGATAACACCCGTTGATCATTAATTTTGTAGGCCCATGCCATCAATGAGAAATTACACATGTTAAAAGGTCTGTTAGTCATTTCTTAAAGATAATCAACGACGTTGAAATAATAGAATGAGAGATCTTGAAGAATTAAAAAGGCCAATCATAACAACCAAGCACCACTAGTACCAAAAGGGACATGAAGTTGTCTCATACACCAATGATAAAACAATAACATACTATGATGAGGATCATACATAATCGTCCCATACTCCTATCACCATACGAAGGCACAAGTCCCACTTTTTAACACCAAAAAAATATTCACCATCCATATGACTCCATCTTCGTTAGTGGTATAAAGATAAACAACAATTACAAAATCAAGTTGCAAAAATAAGAAGTGAAATGTCTCTAGAACAATGCTATGTTACAAACGATTAAGGCATGAAAGTTTAAAATTAATATCAAAGCTTAAAAACTTAATATCAAATGCTCATTGTAAGACTTTTCAAAAGAGAAAATTTGTAAAAACTTCTTCTCATTTAAAAAATATTGTTTCCTCCTCTAAATCAATGGTAAAGAAACATAAACTAGTATTGTTAATGATTATAGAATATCGACATGCTTAAAATTCGTTAGGCACAAGGACGAGTCTTATTCCTTGTTCTTAGTATTTTCCAAGCAAGTATAAGTTGGAAATGATTTGAATATTGTAATCATTAGAAGTAATTATAATGGAGAATTGGAAAACAATTTTTTTGAAAATGACTCTTTTTTTACAAAGAGAGCGGATCACCTCAATCTGTAATGTTTGTGTGAGCATAACCCTTATGCTATTTTCAGTTCGCAGTTAGATACACAAGCTTAACACATGTCATATTGATTTTGAATTAAATACTAAAATTGTGGTGATAATATATATATATATATATATATATATATATATATATATATATATATATATATATATATATATATATATATATATATATATATATATATATATATATATATATGTATATATATTACTTTTTAAGAGAGATCTTACGCAATTAAATGACATTATTAACCATGGTAGAGAAATGTTCTCTACTTGTTAGATCAACTTTAGCGTTGAATTTATTAAAAGAACAAATAAATAATATAAGTTATTGATAGAAGTAATATTTTAAAAACTGAGTCGGTCATTAAACCAGAAAAAATACTGATTTATTGATTTATCAGTTGAATCACTAGATTACTGATCAAACTGTATGATTAAATCAGATTAAATAGAATAATTTCATTGAATCAGACGATCTCTATAATAAAACTATATATTTTTTAAATTGGTTGAATCAAATGATTCAATTTCTAAACCAAAGATGATTCAATTTCTAAATGAAATATCACGATACCTACAAAATTTTAAAACATCTTAAAAGTTTATTTTTTAAATTTAAAATCTAAATAATGCCACCACACACGACAAAATAGTACAATATACAAAACTAAATAAATTTTGAATTATATATAATTGCAAACGAGGAAAAGATGATCCAATTAAGTTTTAAACAAAATTTACTTATATTTAAAAAAAAATCAAAATATTTTCGTTTTGTCTAAGAAAAAAACATGCATTTTACCTGTCGGTATTTTAAAATCATCTATTTATCAATTTTTATTAATTTTGGCTAGTTTCCGCTAGTTCAATAACATATCTGATTCAGCATTCAGACTAAATAGATGACTCATCCGATTTTCAATTAATCGACCGGTCCATTCGATTTTTAAAACAGCTTGTTGTATGAACAATATTGATTAATGAAATACTAAAAAAGAAAGTAAATAAAAAAGAGGGAAAAGAAAAAGCATTTAGTTTGTAGTAAAAAATGGACACTTTGCCATTAGCATCGTCTAATAAACACATTTCGCGATCCATCTGGTAGCTAGTGAAGGAAGTAAGCAATGAGGAGGCGATCATACAAGAGAGAGTTAGGATGCATAGCCTGCAAAGAATTGGGCGAACTCGGAGCCGGAAAACCCGGTTGGGTGGTCGACAACCCCAACCTTCTCTCCGCCATCGACACACACTCCATCCTCCTCGCCAACCGCTCCACCATCCTCCTCCTCTCATGGTCCGATTCCCACCAATCTCCACTCAGGATCCGACCCGAATTGTCCCCCATCGATGCCGAATTCATCTCCGCCGTCGAATGGTTGGCCTTTGACGACATCCGCGTCATCGTCGCTGGTACTTCCTCTGGCTATCTGCTCATTTACTCCCTCCGCGCCGAATTGATTCATAGGCAGGTAATCAAATTCAATATCTCTTCTCTTCTATCAGATTTTCATTTTCATCGCGATTAGAAATCAATACACGTTTGGAATATCGTTCTAAAGGGGCTAGGTCATACTATTTTAATTTTGTATCAAAATCAATGATATTTCTTTGTATAATATATGATCTTCTTAGATGATTTATCCTGGACGAGTTTTGAAGTTAAGAGTTCGTGGAACAAAGAAAGACCTGATTCAAGATAGTTCCTCTGAAGAGTTTTGTCTCATCATGCCTGGTGTGATTGCTCGTTTTGATGGATCCGTTGTTCAGGTAACACTGTTTTCTGTGTCCAGACAATCAGAAATCGGCTTAAACATAAAGACATGTTGCATTGGCATGGATCTAAAACTTATAGTCTGCATGTTGGATTGGGGTAGTTGATTGTGAGTCTAATAGTAGGCTTTGTAATGTTGGAATGCAGAATATGCTGCAGAAGTGGTTTGAAGAAGCCTATCCTCAATTTCGGAATCAAAAGCAAAAGAATCAAGATTCAGAGGATTCTGAAAACTCTCAAGTAAAATTACCTTTCCAGTTGTGGAATATTGGTAAGTATGGTACTTGCGCTGATGCAGCCGTTACTGGCATAATGCCTCCACCTCTGATGGAATATCAGGTAAAGTATTTTAAATAATCATGTTATGCTTTCTATAATCACATTTGTTTGTATAACGTTTTATGATTTGTAAAAATTAGAAAAAAAAAAGGTGATTTGAGGAAATTATAATAACATATTTTCTATTCATGTAAGATTTGTATAGGCACTTGTTTTTTCTTTCAAACAGGGAAATCATGTATTGTCTGAACCCTGAATTGGGTACTATGTTTGCTGCTTTTCCTTGATTTTATTTTTTTGGTTTGACTTGCTTTTCTCAGTTTCACCATGTCCTACTATGATTTTTGTCTGAGAGAATGATTGTGGCCGTTTCAACCCTAGATTATGGAAGTTTTCTGATATTATTTCTGGTATTTGAGTTCAGCTGCTTTTATTGTTGGGCAGTCGAGTCAACGTTATTATTGTGCAGTGGCTGTTGGAGACGATGCTGTGATTTCAGCTTATAGGTACTTGGAGTATTATTTGGCTAAACTTTTACTTCTTTACTAATATATATACTGAGTGAGTTTTGTTTTATCATTTGGAAGACTTTCCGAGGACAAAGGCAGGTCTTTAGTGGGAGCTATCTTGTCTAAAGTTGTACCTGCAACATTTTCCACTATAGCTTCATTTTCTAAATTGATTTGGCGGAGTGAAAATACTTCTCCACAGAAATCGCCAAAGAAATCAGAGGAGAAGCCTCAGCCATTTGCTCGAGGTAAGAGTAACATTCATCACAGGGCTTGCCTTTTTCACTATAATACACAAATACCTGCAGATAATTTTGCATATGCCAAGTAAAGGAAACACAAATTATATAGTGTCATGTTAAGTAGGGTTAATTTATGCTATTGGAAAGGTGGTGCTATCTTTTTTTATTAGAAAAAAGAAAAGAACTATCGCCCCAGATAGGTAAGCCATCTCACCTGGTGAGCTAAGGGAAGTCGAAGGAGTTTTAAGCAGGAAGTCCCAGGTTCGATCCCAAAAACTAAAATAACAACTAATTACTAACATTTGTTGCCTATCAAAAAAACAAGAACTACCACAAATTTAGACTTGGCAAAAAAACAATCTGTGGGACAAAAAGAAATAGAGGACCAGTTGGACTATTGCATTTCTACTGGAAGAAAACTATTAACTGATAAAATGAAGAGCTATGTGCACCGTTTTTGCTGCATCTTTTCTAAATTTAAATCCAATTATTTGACATTGGTGTTTATGCATCATTGCAGCTTCACCCCTGACATGTATAAAGGATCATCCTAGGAAAGGTGAGAAGCTTACCTTATCACCAAGTGGTACATTGGCTGCTATAACCGATTCACTCGGTCGCATAATGCTGCTAGATACTCAAGCACTTGTGGTGGTGCGCCTTTGGAAGGTTTTCTTTTGAACTTTTCGGTCCTGAGTTCCTGACCTCCCCTTCCCTAAAAAACTCAGTAAAACAACTATTGTATTTCCTTAATATGGAGTTTGGTACTTTTGCAGGGATATAGGGACGCCAGCTGTTTATTCATGGAGATGTTGGTAAATAAAGATACAGCCTCATCAAGCTCCACTTATTATGAACCAATGAAGAGTGATTACTGCTTGTGTTTGGCTATTCATGCTCCCAGAAAAGGAATTATTGAGGTATGACTTTTATCTAACTTTAGGTTTCTTCCTCAAAAGCCACCCAAAGCCTTTACACTGCAGTTTTGCAATTAAAAATATGCAACTTGAGAAACGTTACTTTTCATATTTTCTGTAAGTGTGACATTGCCACACTTGAACTTTCATTGCTGTGCACAATAGAACAAAACTTCTGCCGGGGTCTCAGTTTCTTCTAATATTGTTTGATTAACTGATAATGTGTTTTCAGATATGGCAAATGAGAACTGGACCACGTCTTAGAACAATTACATGTGCAAAAGGTAGCAAAATGTTGCAACCCTCCTATAGGTTTGGTGCATCAATGTCGTCTCCTTATGTCCCTCTAGAAGTTTTCTTGTTAAATGGGGACTCTGGTCAGATATCAGTTTTAAATCGGAACTTGTAGTCTTGATAGGTTGACATATTTTTCCCTGCTAGACCAAACACAGACTAGGATTCCCTCCCGTAGGGAAATCACACTGATTTGCCCTGTAATGAATTTCATCATCAATATGCGATTGGACGGTACCGATATCAATATTAATTTTATGCAGTAAAATGATCTTGACCGCCACTTTAAAATTGGACGGCTCGGATCCGCTGTTAGGAAATGACATTCTGACCAAACACTTGTATATCTTATAAAAGTATGTTTGAAAATATCCGTGTTTGATGATGGACGATACACACCTGGGAACACTGTTTTAAAGCTTTTGTTATGCTGGAAAGATATTGATAATTAAGATCAATTATGTGGGTTCATTTCAAGTTTTCTTGTTAGACGGGGACTCAGGTCAGATATCTCTGTTTCATTGATAGTGTGTTTCATTAATATAATTGGAAATAATAAATAATTAAGAGTATAATAGAAAAAATAATATTAATGATTCATTGATATCATAAAACGAGCACAATTTTTATTACTAAAGGGATTTATAAATAAAGATGACGGGAGTAGTTGTTTTTGTGCGGAATTTCAAAATACTGAAATTATTCAATTTTGAAATCCTTTTAAATGTTTTTTTTTTGGTATAAAATTATTTCCAAATAGACTATGTTCATTCTTAGTTTATTTTAATTTAATTTGTTTGGATTACAAGGGAAATTGGATTTTAATTTAAGTGTTTCAATACGTAATTTTTGTACTCTTTATTTAAGTGGTCAGACCTGTTGGGAATAAAATAATAAGTGGTTAAATTCAGGTGTTATACTATTACAAAGTAATCAAGGTTTGTTTCTCAATTGGAAAAATGTAAAATATATATATATATATATATATATATATATATATATATATATATATATATATATATATATATATATATATATATATATATATATATATATATATATATATATATATATTTCCAGATGATTAAGTACCTCAATCTCAAAAGTATTAAAAGCAATACGAAGGCCCATGACGGAGAAAACACGTTAAGAAAAGGAATGACGCAAGCGCCATACTCGTCATGGGACAAACTTGCTTCTGTAGAAACACCATCAAAACTGTTTGGGTTGGAAAAAAAGTAGTGGAAGAGTAAACAAAATTTGTCCAAGAAGACGAAGTATTCTTCTAAGACTTATTAATGTTTTTATGTGATTTCTTGTTCATAATACACTAACTTTGTAGTTATAGAAAGAGTAATATAAGAAGGGAACAATGAAACTATTAAACTAAATATAATGCTTAGAAAAGAGAAATAAAACACTTATCCCTCAAAAGAAACTATGTTAGAGAAGGAAAAAAGACTTAACCAAACACGTACAAATCTTTCATACACAATTCTCAAGAATTTAGGTTTCCAAAAATTGTCATGATGATACCTACAAAAAGAAGTTTGAAGTATGGCCCATTTAATGCATGGTCCCTTAGAAAACTGAAGCGATCTTCAGTCATCCGCCTCAAAAACTAGGATATGGTCGTCATCTGAAGTCATAGTAATAAGCCCTCGCCTACACATGCTTAGGCAAGGGCTTGGGGACAACAGTTCTGGACCAATTAGAAAGATCCCAGACGAACTAATTCTACCGCGTCGTCTTGGCTTGCATTCTAATAAAGGTCTTGATCCATCACTAATCTTTCAATGAGTAAAGATAAATATTTCTTCGATCCTAAGAGATTTCAACCATAAAGAAAATTTAATGGACATTTGCAAAAAATGGCTGATAAATAGATGGTTCGTTATTTTCTTGCTCTTTATATAGAGGAGATGTCAAATCAAGGTAACAAATTTCATTTACAAATTTTATTTCACTCTTCTTCTTTTTTATATACTAACTTGAGAATTAGAGTGCTAACCATATAGGTACCCCACACTCCTCCGTATTGAAGGTTGTGATCTGCCATCACCTCCATTCAAACTTCTCTTTTCTAGTTCTAGGATTGAACAAAAGTTATGTTAAGTGAAGTATTAACATTGGAGAGTTGAAGTAGACTGCTGAAAAACATAAGGGCAACTTATCTTATATGCATTTATGGTAACATGTCTTTCAGCTCATGATATTTATAAAGATAAGGTTGGTCTTAGAATATGTCGGTTGTGACTAACTAATCTTTACAAAAGTGACATCTAAAGTGAGAATTATTGTCACCTATCAACACATATCCATATAATATATGTTTGATATGATTCTCTTTGACAAATATCATCACACTCAGGATTGGACATATATTGCATGGAAATGAATGGTGGGTGGTCCGATAACAAAAATCAAATAGTAGGTGGTTGTGTGAAAATAAATGGTAGATGGACTAATAATCCACACCTAATAGCAATTGGCCCAACAAACTATAAATTATACTCTTATACCATCTTATAATACATAGGTTGAGTTTTATTCATTCCAATTGGTGTCATGAAATACTTGACACCATTTTTCCCTCACACCCTTTGGTGTCGGTAGATGGAGTTTCTGCATCTGAAAATCTTCAACCCTTTGGAAGTATTTCAACCTAACCTCTTTCTTTTGGTGTTCAACACATTGCCAAAGTCTTACACATACACAATCATTATGGGTTCACAAGGATTCACTAGCGTGTTAAAATAACCATTTGAATACAAATTACATGGCAATGCAATTGAAGAGTTATTACCAAGTTACTTTCCAAGGAGTCAATGAAACAATTGCTCATATTTTGTAATACTGAACATTTTTGCATCAGAACATGAGAAAGGAGTAAACCATACAAAATATAAAGGAACAAAAATAATGATTAAACTTGAACTAGAAAAGTATGAAAGTACACCTCAAAAATATTTTTAGGAATTGTACATTTTCTTCTGGTTGGACACTAAAGATTATCCAATTTTCACACGGACTCGAGTATAAGGCAATTTTAAACACTAGAAAAGAAGGAGAAAATAGACATACAAATGCATCCTTGTCAAAATTGAAGGAACAAAGCCAGTTGAAGGTTGTGGAGGCGTTTTCCGAAACCTCAAGGTTGATTTTCTAACGGATTTGGCATTGAAGGCTGTTCGATCGGGGCGTGCCGAGTTATGGGAATATAGTAAATAAATACCAGTGTTACGAATATATCACATATTAAATATGTGTCAAAACTTAAATTAATAAATATTCTTACAATATTTGTATACAAAACATAACTTATGCTTCATATTTAATTTAAATTAACAACATTCTTTATAAGAGTTCACCGAATTCGGTGTTTGCTATAAAACAAGAGTGCACAAGAATTTCAAGCTATTTCTTTGTATCCATTGTTCAGTACTTTCCCTATTCTCACATCAAAATATGCCACATTAATGTTCCTCCCGTTTGTGATTCTTTAACAAAAAAAACTATCTTATTTGCATATGCCCTCTTATGATTCAACTTTCTTCAGGCTATGGTTATGACACTTTTTATATAGTTGAGTGGAAACTTTGGAAGATTTTATTTGAAACAAAGCAGAGAAGAATAATGGTTTACTAGTGAAGAGAAACACAATGTCACTACTATCACAAAGATCAATTGTGAAAAACAAGGTTACGAGCTAAGTAGAACTTGAAATCATTTCCAGTACGATGTTAATTTATTTGAAGCATTCTTTAAATTCCATTTGAAACCAAAGAAGCAAGATCAAAGAAAAAAATCATTTGCACCCTAAGTCTTGGGACCATCCATCTGACTCTGAGTCATGTCACATAGAGAGTAATTTTCTTCCTGAGTTTTCTCTGATGGATCTTGTACAAGCTCGTATAGTATATAAAAATCAAACGTTAAAACAAGTATGATAATCAACATATTTTTATGTTTTCTTAATTAGTGTGATTTGCTTAAATGAAGAGAAATTCAATCAACCATCAAATAAAGTGAACTTATGGTGTCAACAAACAAATATGCAGAAAATGGAATTTACCTCTTTTACTATTTTTTCGTATCAAAATTCAACATACAAAAACAATCAGAATAAAAAAAGACCAAACACATAATTACTCTACCTTGTTACTGTTAATAAAATATAATAGTGCTAAAACTAAAACCAAATAAAAACGAAAAAGGTAAATCAAACCTATTCAAAATACATTTGTTGAAAAACCTAAGTATACAAGGCTTTCCGTTTCTCGGATTCTTACAGGTTGTCACAACATCCCTTGTTTTCTGTCGGCACTTCAATGTGAAAACTCAAAAAAACTAACATGTTAGCATCAAAATAAACTCCATCAAGACACACGATTTCTAGCTAGTTAAGTTAACCCGTAAATCATCATCATCCTACATCCTATCAACAATGTTCTTATTTCTCACCAAATCTCATGATAAAAAGACACATGATAAAAACACATAATCACTCTACAATGCATACACGATTTTTTTCCCACATTACCTTAGAGCTTTAAAAAAGATATGCAATTACAATTTGAATCTTGTCTCTTGAGATGATATTGCACTCAATCCATATTATATTACACTCAATCCATATTGTTTATGACACCATTTTTAAACTATTAAGGTTTTGCTTGAATCAAATGGAGTGATATGAAGTTGAATAGAGTTGTATTTCATTCTTTATATAGTTTAAAAAATTGGATGGAGCGGGAAGGATGAAGTGATATGGGTTTCATTCAATTCCATCACTTATGATCATATGAATAGACATTACTATGGAAAACCCCCTCACAAGAGTTAGAAAAGGGATACCACCACGCCTAACCAACCGTTGTGAAGTAAGGGGTGGTTGTACATATGATCTTTTCCATTATGGACATCTGACCGTTGTGATAAACTAGGTAGCATGCTACCTATCAAAATGTTTATATTAAATAACTGTTATGATATCTATAGGTCACGTGTTTGAAACCCATCAACAACAATTTAATTAAAGTGTGAATAGATTTAACATTTCACCACGGCTATGTATTCCAACTGTTGTGGCATATAAAATAAGTGAATTGTTTG